ACAGGTTCTCAGGTAGTGCTGCTGCTGGTCCGGGGACCACAGTTTGAGAAACTCTAGTGCAGGGAATTAACTATGATGGGGGGTGCAGGGCAGTCAGGGGAGACTTCCTGGAGGCGAACGCCTTTCAAGTGAACCTTCTTGTAGCAGATGAAGAGAGAAGAGACGGCGGCGGGACCGAGGACACAGAAGGGCCCGTGTGAGCTGGTGGGGTGGGGACAGGCAGGGGGAGGTGAAGCTGCCAGGCCCCCAGGCATGAGAGGGGCAGGACGGCCAAGGCCAGGTGGTTAATCTGGACTCCACTCTGGTAACCTCCGGAACTCTGGGATGGCTCTGAAACCTGGGACCCATGTGCAGTGGGGTGAAAGGTGGTTTTAGGGAGAGGGAGCAGCTGTGGGACGAGAGAGCCTGGGCTTGCTCCCCAGTCCAGGGTCGTGGCATCCTTTAAAATCTGGAGGAGTCCTTCCATGATCCTATTTTCAGTGTAGAGACCAAGATCCATGGTTCCCAAAGGTGCCAGATGAGATAGTGGTTATAGTCACGTTAAAAAAAATTAATTAGAAGATAATGGAATTAAAAAAGGGATGTCACTGCACCTCACAAGGGTATGCCATCAAACCTGCTTTGGGCTTGTGGTTTGCAGGGGCACCGCATCGTGACGTGTGGGGGAAGGGTGTGTGTGGTCATGGGGCGTGCTGGACCCGCCAAATGGCCTCCCCCAGGCCCGGGGCATCGAGCCCAGGGCCTTACCTGTGGGACAGTCCTGGGGGACAGTCGGGAAGATGATGCCTAAGGTTCCCCAGAACAGGAAGGGCTGCGGGGAAGCCTCCAGAAGTGGGCGGCGTCAGTGTGAAATGAGGCGCGCAGGGGCAGCTTTCTGGAAGTGGCTGAGTCTGACCTTGCAGGTGGCTCAGATCCTGACCCCAGGGCCTTTTGGGGAGAGGGGAGAGAGTCTGACCAACAAGGAGTTGCCAAGACACACTGGGAGTGGGGTATAGGGTGTGAGGAGACAAATGAAGGTTTAAAAAAATCTAAGTCTCAACATACAGAATCCAAACAGAAGTGTGACAGGCCTTAAGTAGTACCAGCCAACACGTTCAAGTTGCCACAGAGGGCACGGGGGACCACCGGCCTAGCCCATCCCCGCCTAGGACGCTGACTTTGAAGGCTACTGTTCCCATGCTCCTCTGGGCCAGGCCATCTCCAAATGCTGGCGCAGGCTAAACTCCAACTTGCGTCCGTCAGAGTGAGTGAGTGCTTTGGGTAGGCGAGTAGCTCCAGACCCCATGACCCTGCCCTAGCTCCCCTCACCTAGCTGGGCGAGAAACGCTGGGGCTGAACTAGGACTTGGACCACCAACCCACTCTTTTCGATCTGGCCCGATATGGCAGCCAATCCATGGCAAGAATTTCTAGGGCACTAACTGGGACTGAGTTTGTAAAACATTAAGTGACCTTCTCTTGTGTGTGGGCCACTCCCTATCCAGTTCTTACTTCCCACTGGCTTTGGGCCACACTCCCCACCCAAGCCAAGCTGGCGTGCACTGGGCTCGCAGCCTGATGTCTTCAGGCCTTGCTGTGTTCAGAAAGCCTCATTTTACACATTAAGAAATGGTTCCAGAAAAGCTGCGATTCGAGGTCACTGTGAACGGAAAGCCCGGGGCAGGTGCGCCCCCCCTCCCCCGCCAACTTCTGGTCTGAGCTCCTTATCGGAAGCTTCCAGTAGCTTTGAACTTGCGTGGGGTCCGGTGAGGGACTGTCAAGAAATCGCTCCTAAACTTACAGGAAGAAACGACGAGAGCTTAAGAAAAGAACGTGAGAGAGCCCACATCACTTCTATTGCTGTTTTCTTCCCGCAGGTTGACTCGGTGCTGTGGAAGCCTAGTTGGGTCTCCGGCATGGATCCAAGCTCCCGAGATGGGCACCCGCCACCACAGAGCCCAATCCCGTGCCGCGCGGCTTCTTATGCCACAAACGTATGTAACATCAACAGTCACATCTGGTTTCCTCTCCTCCACCTTGATTGAGGCAGGAGGAGGATAAACAGGGAACGCTGTTGCGAATTTCCATCCCAAATGGTAATTATTGCATCATTATATCCGCTACTTTTCTTGTCATGTACCATTAGGAGGGTAGCACGATCACTGTCAGTCAAAGGCGGTGGAGATAATTAGAGTGTCTATAGGTTAGCAGGAAATCACATGGGTGCCAGTCCCCATCAGTGCCGGGATGCTGAACGCAATTAGAGACGGTGGAGATGCACAGAGCCCCAGGGACGGAGGGGAGAGCCTGAGTCCTCTGGGCTCCAACACTGCAGGTGGGCGGGGCACGGCCCGCAGGGAGCGGGAGGCGGCGAAGTCGGCCGGGCTCCCCATCCAGACGCTGCAGAGTTTGGGGGGCGGTGGCAGGATCCTGTGTATGGTCCGATTTGGGAAATCAGTGTTTGTCGTGTTTTCCAATCCCCTCGTCGTCCTTCTGGTCCGGGAGGTGGGCGTTAGCGGGCGAGCAGAGCCGAGTGGGTCTCTATGGCTCTGCCCACTGTTGCCTTTCTAGGCCTGCAAGCCCGGGTCCCTTGACCTGCATGGTCTTCCTGTGCTCCCCGCCCCCAAACTGTGTCTAAGCCCCAGACAGCAGCCGCCCGCATCCCGCTAACCTGGGCCGCTCCCGCGCCTTCCCAGAAAGAGAACAAACACTGGTCCAAACAGGTCTCGTCTGAACAATTTCATGAGGCCGACATGAGAAAAAATTAACATTTTTTACATCTTGAAAAAAAACGGGAATTTAGAGGGCGGAAGAGGGGAAGTGTCTGCGAGGGGAGGAGGGAGAGGCCGGGTTGGGTCGTTCAACAAGACACAGAGGAATCGAGACACGAAGGAAATACAAGGAAGGTCTGGAAAGTCACATACAAGCCACCGAGTCCACAGACTGAAATGCCAGGGAACGCGCGAGCAGAGACTGTCGCGAAAGCCCCAAAGTCGGCTCTGTCACCGGCGCAGGTGACACCACCACGGAGCTCCGAGCTGGGCCTGGGGTGCCCCCCGACCCACCGCCTGCGCCATCCACCGGTCCCTTCCCGAGACCGAACAGTGTTTTGCCTGGACTGTCCCAGAAATGGAAAGAATGAGAAACAGAAAGAACGTGAGATCCACGTGTCGCGGTGGGGGCCGCCAAAGTTTACAGAAGCTGATCGGCGGGTGGCCGAGTGCGTGAGGGAGGGCAACCGGCCCCCGCGGGTCAGCCTGGTGTCCTCGCTTGGGCTGGGTTCGAGGCCTTTCTCCGCGAGAGCCCGGTCTTGCACGTGTGGCTTCTTCCCTAGGGGAACGATGGCCGTCACACACACAAGCACCTGGAGGCTTGGTTCACATTTTTTAATAACATGGCACAGTTTACATTACACAAGAAGGCTCCATCGATGGGAACATGCTGAAGAGTCAGTCGGTTTTCACGGGTCTTTTCACATAGGGTCTAGGAAGGACTTTATTACATACAGGATAAACAGCAAAAAGGTCTGTATAGAACAATCTCTTTACAAGACTGAAAGCTACCACTACAGTTCCAGTGTTCATATCCCTCGGATTTTTTTTAAAGTTGTTGTTAAAAAACAAACCAAACCAAACCAAAACAAAAAAACCAAAACAAAACTAAAAAACAAAAAACAAAAACCAAAAAACCCCAAAAAACAAAAAAACCCAACCAAAAAAAAAAAAACCCACTGCACAACAGCTGGAGTTCACAAAATCTGAAACTCACCACTAAACCTTCAGTTTACTACTAAAATAGATCTCTCTGCTTGTTAGAAACAATGGTCTGTAGTTAACTTTTTTTTCTTTTTTGCAAAAACAGGGTAACAACATCAGATAGCACTTTAATATACTAGAAGACCCAATGGCACTAGTTTTATTTCATACATATAATTTACAGTCCGGTAGACAAGATATAGTGTATTTCTCTGCTAGTAAAGTCATATTCTCTCCAAATATGTAGACAAGAGGCTTAATGTATTATAAAAGTATTATGAAGACACGTTAAGGTCGATGCGAACTCAAAACCACACGCACACACAGGACTCGGTCTCTGCCACTGTTCACCCTCTGCGCCTCTCCGTGGCGGGGCCGGCCCCACCTGTTCCGGCTCCTTCCAGACCTCCCGACCCACGGGAGCGCCGCGAGTCACGGGGGCGGACGCGCCCCTTCGGTCCCCCAGCTACCGAGTACAGTGAGAAACATATCCATCATCTGAGAAAACGCGAAGCTTTCTTTCAGGATTTGTTTGGGTGGGATCCCACCTCATCCACAAACGAGGAGGCTGTGTGCAGAGAGGAAATGGGACACGCTAAAAACAAAACAAACCAAATGCGTGGCTCCCACGGGGGGGGTGGTGTGTGAAATCACGTGACTGATGATGACGTGCTGGCGGCCTGTGTCCCCTGATTTTGGCATCTGACAACCCCCATCCTCCCCTGGCACCGGCTGCGCTGCCCTCGCTCTCCCCGCCCCCCTCCCTCCCATGCCCCCACCGCCACGGCCCACAGGCCACCACTTCGGAAGCCACGTTTTCGGCCTGGGGTCTGATCCGCATAATAGGAGGTTTCTCCGTTTGAAAAAACAAGCAAGGAAAACAGTCCTATCACGTGAGCGCTTGTTCAGGGAAAATATGACCTTAAGGATGTTGTAAATGGGTTTGAAAAGGCTCCTTTGAGTCAAGAGGGCTTTTGAGAGAAGCCCCGACATTCATTGCATAGTTGAAGGGTTTAGCTGTCTCTAACAACACGTGGGAACGCGGCCGCAGCTGACCGCGCTCGCGGGTAGTAAGTCTGCAGATAGCACATTTGAAGAAGTAGTAATGTATTAGGTTACTTACTCTGTATCTATTTACATTTGTACACAGTAAAGCTTTCATCTTACCCTTTGCATATATGAACCATGAGCTCCCGAAGCAACGTTTCTTTACAGGACTATGTACACGGCCTCCCCTTCTCATCTGCGGGAGCTCCGCGCGCCGGACCGGACCGCGGGCGCCGCTGCCGCCTCCCCCCCAAGTCACCACCGCGCCGGGTGTGTATGCCATCTTTGCTGTTTTGGTTCAAATCAACAAAGTTTTATACGAGAAACCGAAAGAGTTAGGGACGTGAGAACATCGGACTTGGCTAAAAGATCTGAAAAATTTCAACATAGAATATACAAAAAAACATTTCAAAATCTGCACGGAGTCTATACATTTTTTACAAGGGGAGGAGGCGGAGGCGCGTGGCCCCCAGTCCGTGGCAGCGGTCCGTCCTCTCTCGCTCTCCCTCCCTCCCTCTCTCAAGTCTGGCGTCGTGTGGGTGTGGGGCTTCTCCGTCCTCGCTCGGGCCCTGCTCTCCTTACCGAGCCTCGATGTCCTTCAGAGTGTGGGAAGGGGGCCTCTCCCTCATCTCTGCGGACAGAGGAGTAGTCCTGCGGGGTGAGACGGGGCGGCCCCCCAGCGTGGAGATGAGTGGTGGGGGCGCGCTCAGCGCGGCCGTCGGAGGCGTCTTGTTGAGCAGTCCGTTCTGGTGGCCCGCCGTGGGGCTGATCCGGGGGTAGTGCATGCTGGGGAGCCCCGGCGTGATGAGGCTGGGGTGCGGCAGGTGCCCGTCCAGGGAGGCGGGGTGCACTGAGTGCAGCCGCGTGTGCTCGTAGTCCTCCCGGAGCACGTGCAGGCGCTCCCGCTCGTCTAGGTGCGCCCCGCGCTCGTGTTCCCGCCGAGGGTCCACAGACAGCGGGTGGTGGTGGTGGTGGTGGTGGTGGTTGTAGTCGTGAGGCTCCCTGTCCCGGAAGGAGCGGTCGGCTTCGTACAGCCGGGGGGTCGAGAGACGGTGGAGGGGGTCGTTCCTCAGCAGGAAGTCCCTGCCCAGCGGGTCTCTGCGGTGAATGTCAAGTTCTCGGTAGGGATCCCTCAGCGGGTCCCGTATGGGGTCCCAGTGGAAAGAAGGGTATGGGAACCGCTCTCCGCCCGGGATGGGACTGATGCCCATGAAGGGAGTCATCATGCGCGTCCTGTCCAGGCTGCTGATGCTGTTCATGGGGTGGATGCCGGTCACCCCCACCGTCATGGGCATCGACGCCAGGGGCCCCGGGTGCACGCCGGACGAGGAGCTCGGAGGCGGCGGCTCCGACGGCCGGTGGGTCTGTGGGGCCTCTGGAGGCAGGTCGTGGTCCTCCTTGCGCTCCTCCTTCACCTTGACCTCCGAGCCCTTCTTGGGGTTCTCGTAGGGCGGCTCGCCCTTGCGTGGCTCGGCCTCGCGGCTGGAGGTGCTGTTGGGCCTGGCGCTCTCCAGCACGGGGGTCCGCACGTAGGGCGACGGCACCCGGGCTAGCTGCTTGGCCTCTTCGCCCACGGCTCGCCCCTCGTGGCCGTGGCCGTCCTTCTCGGGCAGGTGGCCCTCCTTCGCCTTGTGCTCGTCGACGGCCAGGTCCTTGCGGGACTCCGAGTGGTCTCTCTCCCTCTCTTTGGATTTGTCTTTCTCACGCGCCTCAGTGTTCAAATGACCCCTGATCTGTTCAGCGGAGCTACGGTTAGGTCCCAGGGCGCTCGCCGGGAGGACGGGTGCTGGTGAAGGGTGGCTGGAGTGTCTCTTCTCAACGCTTTCCCTGAGGAAGAGAGAAGCAAACAGAGAAGCCGATGAAGCGGGCCTGCCGGCCTGGCGAGGGACTGCCGATGAGATGGTGGTGTGAGGAGGACGGGCTCGGGTCTGGTGCCTGCGGTCGCCGGGTGCGCCCTGTGCCCAGCAGAGCCGGCCATCCTGACCCTACTCACCGCGACGTCAGAGGACGCTTTGGGGGCTAAGTGCTGGGCATGAGGGCGCGTGGGGGCCCGAGGGGAATAATTCTGTATGGAAGAGTCACATGGTCCGTTAAGACCACAGAGGAAAGGTTTCGGCAAGTGCACGTGGACCAGTGGGGACGGTAACAGTGCTCTGGTGACACAGCCCACCTGTCTCGACCACGGGATCATTTAGTGTGGAGCAGAAACGCCTGAGCAGCCCAACCACGAAGACGACCTTTCTGCCGCTGCTGCGACACTGAGCCGGAGGGAGGAAGCGTCTGACGCAAACGTGACAGGAGCTTCAAACTCCAGACACGAGGACGAGTGACCCGTCTCGGAGCAAAGGACGCCGGCTCAGAGGCCCTGCGAGAGGCAGCCCGGGAGGGGCTCTGAAGGGAAACCACGAGTTCAGGGCTCATGGGTTGCAAACGGCACTTGTGTCTCAGGAGGGACAAGGTGGAAATCTGGGGAGAAGATGGAGGAAAGCCGGTAGGAAAAGGGGGGGTCCCCGGGCCTCAGGGGATAAGTGGAGAACCGTTCTGAGGGCATCTGGGAGTGGACACGTGGAAGAAGAATCTTAGGGGCCTGTCTGGGATGGGGGCTAAAGTGTCCAGGGCACGGGATGCTGAGCCCAGAAGGACCACGAGGCTGATAGGACGAGGGAAGACTGGACCGGACACGATGCAGGGACAGTCGCGAGACAGACGGGGTGAGGCCAGGGGCAAGGCACCTCGTTGGCTCGGCAGCTCCCAAGGCAGAGGGGCGTGACAGCAGGAAGGGGGGTTCCCCTACAAATGCGGTTTCTAGCCAACACGGAGGCCAGGAAGAGGGGCATCTTCAAAAGGCAAGAATAAACCAGCATGTTTTATCACGTTTCCAGACTTGAATCCAAAGGCCGTTTGGGCCCCATCAAGAAAGATGCGAGAAGGTTTGCTGCCTCACCATCTTCTGGTCACCGACAGGCGGCCCCGAGAGAGCGCCCGGTCCGGGCCCCGGCGGTTCACAGCTGACCGCCCCGAGCGGTCCTCCCGCTGTCTGAGCTCGAACACACGGTCTTGAAGGAAAATGTGTCTTTTTCTTTTCTAAGACAGCATCAGCGAGAATGAGGAGGACATGCTAATCTGACCCACTTAGGGTCTGTGAAAGTGAATCCTTTTAAATCACTAGTGGGCATGCATGCACACACACGCGCCCCACACACAGTAAGGAAAATCAAAGATCTGGATCCTGTGTGAGACCCAAGTACCCAAGGGAGAGCGCTGGTAGGGATTTTCCTGTCGAGCGTATCTGGTCTTTCCCTGCTTCGCAGTCTGAGCAGGAGGAAAACCGCCTACAGCAAGAAAACAGAGGGACGCTTGCTTGAGAATGCCCAGGACATTCTTCAGTGAAAATACCCTAAGACCTTTTCCTCCTTAAGGCGATTCCTGTTACAGGCAAGGGTTACCAAGTCCAGAGCTGAAAACACGGTTAGTCAAAGTAACTTCCCCACTGGCAAAGCAAAACCCACACCGGGAACGCGTACGGACGCTCCTCGGCATCTAGGTTAGCAAACTTCCACTCGTCCTCTGTGAGCCCGGGATTGGGGTTTGAACAAAACTTGAGAAAAATATGATGAAACGATGCAAATGTGACTTTCTAAAAGCAAACAAAAAGAAAGAGAGGGAAAGAGACAGGAAAAAAAAAAAAACCTATGGATGATTTAATGGACTGCACGAACTTGAAAGCAAATATGGTGTTGATTCATGCTGTGTGTGTTGGGTCCGGAGCTCCAGCTCGCTGTCTCAGAGAGAGAGAGTTCTGCTGGGGCACACTAGCGCTCGCGGGGACCTCGCAGCTTCTCGGGGCAGGTCTGTGTCTGAGTCGGGGCGCTCTCGCTGCGCTGTGGTCATAGCCTACAGGGCGGTGCTCTAGGGGGCCGAGGGGGTGCGCTCGGGGACTGCGGGGCTGGCCCGGGGCCGAGCCTGGACTGGGGGCCACACGGCCCGCCGGAGCACGAGGCTGGGATGGGGCGGGGGCACGGCCGTCCTGGGCGCACAGCAGGCTCCCCCAGTGGGACTCGAGAGCGGGTTCTTTCCGTACCTTTCTTTGTCATCTTTACTAACGGAGGAGTCTCGTTTATCTACATCTCTATCTCTGTCATGAGCTGCAGCGGACGCGCTACGCTCCAGCTCCCCTGGCTTCAGCCAGGGCGGAGGGGTCGGGAACGACGGAGGCGTGCGGTGGAGCCGGTTCCAGGGTTCGTGAGGGTTGCTAAAGTTCTGCACACTGGGGCCATCCTTGTGGCCGAACATTGAGTTGGGTGCTGAAATGGTGAAGTGGAAAACAAAAAGGTTTAAGAGAAATCATATAATCCGCTGTAATGAAGGTACTTACCCCAAAACTTCTAACAGCACTCAGAGTTAAAATGAGTACATATTATGGGGAGCTGGAAAAGGAAAGGAGATCAACAGACTCATTAGAGGGACGCTCGCCCCACCCTGGAGAGGCAGCTCAAGGCTCTCGCTCTCTAACCCAAGCCGACGGGGCAGGAGGGGGAGGACTCAGGAGGAAAGGGGCCGGACAGGTGCCAAGAGCGCCCAATCGAACACGTCTGGTGCATGCAGGAGCCTGCGGCATGCAGAAGGGGGTCCTCTCGTGAACAACACCCATCGCCGCGGTGCCTTCTGGCTCCTCCCTGCCCCACAGCCCCGCCAACGGGACCGCCACTGTCCCCACAGCATTAGCGGATGGAAACAGGTCGTCAAGCCCAGACGGCAGTGGACCCAGATAGACACGTAAGGTCTCCGCACAGGACGACACTGGGAGGGCACCCTTAGGGCTGCGTTTCAGGCCGTGACAAACGGACAGCACCAAAGACAAGGGCTGAGCCTTCGGTGGCTCGAAAATGAGTCCGTGTTACACCGCTTTTCCCACTCGAGATACTTTTTGGTAGAAAATGACACGATCCTCCCAGATGACGGAGTACAAAATGCTGGGCTAGCCTTAGCCCAGGGCGGTTTTCCTGCCATTTTTGGTAGTTTTCTCAGTGCCACTAGTGCCAAAGGTGAGGCGGAGGAAGAGTGGTTTCCCCGTCCACCGGGAGCTGCAGCTAAAGTTCCGGAGGGTAGGGATGGAACGTGGGGGAGACTGAGCTTAAGTGACTGTATGGAGTTTGATCAGGGACACACAGGAACAGCGGGCTTCCCCTGAAACCCCTGCACCCTTCCCCCCGACTTCGCTGCTGAGGCCGGCTTCTCCGGATAGGACCTCATCGGTTTCCCACGAGGACAGTTTCCTTCTAGCTAGAAAGGTCTTGAGCCATAGACAGATCCAAGGAGACACACAGTCCGAGGCAGATTTTTAAAAAGCCAGAGGTACTCACTAACTGAAGGGTTTCCGAGTCCCCCGAAGGCATTGCCACCAACCGCTGCGAGGCCAGTGAACGTAGACGGACGGTTAAAAGGCTCTGCGGACAGATCGGGAAAAAGGAAACGGTTGCAGGACTGGGGTGAGTGGAGGGTAAGAGCTTCCCGGGCGTGGGAAGGCGATGTGGGGCCCCTGCCCGCTCTACACTCGGACCCGATCCGTCCGTCCCTGATTGTGTAGAGGGTCTCACTGCATTTGGGTCTGGGCACAGTGTTCTAGGACACTCTCCTGCCCTGTCCTCCCTCCTCGGGGAAAGTACTCTGTGGGCTCTAGGAGTAAGGCTCCCAGTGACGAAATGGTGCAGGCGCATCTGTGGAGACACCCCGTTGTCGCGTGCCACTGCCTATACGCCTGCCTGTGCACACGCAGGAAATACCCAGAAAACAGAGGCCACACTAGAGCATGCACCCTTGCTAGGAAAAGACAGATGCACAGTGAAACCCGAGGGGACTAAGAAACAGCACGGAACACTTCCTTGTTACATCATCTTGCCTTTTCTTCCTCCTCCCAGAGGTGGGCAGGCAGAGGGAGTTCACCATCTCACCCCAGCGGGCAGGTACAGGCTACTGTACACACAGATCGCTGGGCACATGGGGCACGGCTCCTTCCCACTGCCCTGTCACCTCAGATGGCATCACGACCGAGCACACAGCCCCTACTTTAAGACTGTGGTGTCAGAGGTACTGAGATCCTGAGGACGGAGGGCCGGCCGTCAAACTTCTCCACGAACCCAGCATGGCCCTGCATAGTCACCGGGGTGTCTAGGACCACGGCCAACCCGCCAAGAAGCGCGGAGGGAGCGTGGCAAACCAAGGTTTTGGTGAGACACGTGTCACTTCCCATCGCCGATGGCAACTTACCCAGGTGAGCGGCAGGGTTAAGGAAGTTGCTGTGGTGGGGGGGTGGCCCAAAAGGGGTCCCGGTTGGGTGTGCAGCACCTGGAAAGTCAAACACAACAGAATCAGATTTCCCAGAAAGCCAACTCCTACCACGCTCCCAGCTGCCGAAGGGCCCCATGAGAAAACGGGGGTGAGTATGTTGAAACAAGGACGTGGCCGAATTCCACCCAGGCCACGTGCCGGGGGACTACATGTTTTATGTTAGCTGGAGAAGGCATGCTCTCCTTCCTAGCTGGGCTGGCCGCTGCCCAAAGAAGGCATTCCTTTGAGAAGACATGGGTGCACAGCATTACAAGCATGGAGAGACCGCACAAGGCGGGGCAGGGTGGGGGGCCGGTTCTATAACCAAGCAAGCTGGGGGTCAAATGCCAAAGCATGAAGTGTTGGGTTCTTCCCTGAGGGACCTCCAGAGCCGTTAGTACATTCCCGGGCTCACTTGTCCTCTGAAAGGGGGACATCTGGCCACGGGATACTTTCTTCACAGAGCATGTCGGGGGGCAAGTCTTTCACTCTGAGAAACTTGTTCTAGAAGCTGTATTTTCTAATTCTTGGCCCAGGAGCAGCGTGTCTGGGTGGCGCAGAGCCCCTTCCCTGAGGACTGTGCTGGTGGTCAGGAGACCATCTAAAAGGCCTGGGCCTGCGGGACCCGGGACCGTGAGCTGCATCAGGTACAAGCGATGAAGTCCTCCAGGCAGCTCCCAGCTTCGGGGCCAGAAAAAGCCACTTTATTCCTACATTTGTGGACACCGGCAATCTGCTAACGGACCCTATCTGCCCGACGGGGACCTCAGTTCAAGGTCAGTGGTCTTCTTTGGTTTCTCCATCCTCCAGCGTTTCATTGTCTGCCTAAACAGCATGTGTTTAGGGAGCTGCATCGTCCTTGTCCCGGAGTAAGGTGGGGAAGGGGAGAGGGAGAGAAGGAGAGAGGGTGCGCGCCTGGGAAGCAGGACGACACTTGTACGAGCCGAGGGCATCCGACTGGCTTGTTAACGGGGCAGCCGAGAGCCGGGAGACACGCTGGCGGAGCGGCAGGCTCGGCTCAGAGACCGGACTGGCCCGGCTCTGCTGACGTCACCTCTCTTGAGCGGATGTCGGCCTGAATTCCCGACACAAGCAGAAGAGCGGCCCAACTGAACACGGGTGCGTGAATTACACACACCGGCTGCAAGTTTCACCAAAATGCCATTTGGGCGCAAAATCCAATATTGCTTAGACTAAAAAAGAGGACCTTCCAGGTGGATATATACGCGGGGCCTCAACGAACGGCCTAAAAACACCCCACGGTGTCTTGCATGTTGGCTAAGTTCCTATAAACAAGTGTAAGTTCCCCTGGGAAAGCAGATTAAGTGGAGGCATGTGGTGGTCCCTCCCCACACCCTAGGAACTCGGTTTATGTTCTGGATTGCTGTCCCTTGCACTGCTGTGGGGCCTCGGGTGGGCACGGGAGGAGCTCTCTGTCCGGCCTAGACGCTGGCTTGGCCTCCGTGGGGGCCGTGCCCAAATGATAGTCCGGCTCCGGCCTGAGAACACAGGCCAGCGTGTCATCAGGTGGTAACAGTGTTGCAGGCTGAATGCAAATCCGGCCGCACTGTCTCTGTGTAGTAGACGCTGATTAACGCTTCGATGAAGATGGGAGCTTTGCTCAGCCCAGGGGCCCCGGGGGGGCCTGGCAGTTCCAGAATTATTGAAGCAAAAGAAGCCAATTGATCGCTTGGCTCCAACGGAAGGCAGGGAGAAATCTATTTTTCTCCAAAAATTGCTCTTCCCGGAGCTCCGTCTCAGGGCCTAGGTGCCATGGTAACAAAGCCTTCAAATATGTCCCCAGACAGAACTGACAGAGAAAAACCTGAGACCTTAGCAAATTCCATCCAGCCTCAAGGGTGATTCACTGGCTTTGGCAGCAAGGCCCTTTATCATGATGATTTCCTGCGATGGGGAGTCTCCCTCTTTCTGAATGCAAGAGCCTCAGGTCAACCAAGGAGTCCTGGATAAAAGCCTGGGAAGGCAGCCGGCAGGATGGATGTGAAACTTGTTCCCAAAAGGACCAGAAGCGGAGCCCAGTGAATATTTATGTCCAGAAGAATAAATTCAACTTAGCACAATGGGTCAGCCCCAGGCCATGGGCAAGGACTCCCGAGCGGAGCTCTGTGCCCGGCTCTGTGCGGCCCAAAGGCTTGAGGACTGAAGGATAGGGAACCTCTGATACCGAGAGGAGTGAGTGCTCTTGCTTTCTGAGAGTCCTTATGGCCACTGCCCCTCGTGTGTATGTACCTGGAGAGGAAAGGGGTGACCACCAGCCCCCACTGCCCCCACTGTGGCATATCCCTGGGGCGTTCGAGAATGTGTAATCTCGGCCCTGAACCAACAGACCATGTAGGTGTGCATGCTCCGTCCTGCAAGCTTTCTGCATCGGTACAAACACGCAGGCAACGGCACTATGTTCCAAAGCCGAAAACAGCAGCCACCCGCGGGCTGACCCCCTTGCACAGCAGACACACCAGCGGCCGCTGTCTTACTCTGCTTTCCCCTCCCTCCGACTCTTGGGAAAACAGCTCGACTGAGCCCCGTGGAGCGGAGAGTGACCGAGCGCTGTGGGCACCGAGCCTAAGGACAGCCACATCCTTATACAGTTCCTGGCACCGCTGCCTATCGATGTGCCTTTGTAAGCTTTCTGATCTTTCTCGATCAGATCATGAGTTACTCTGGTTTAATACAGAAGCAAAAAATGAGCCAAAGCAGTCTGAGTCCCCAAGGAGAACAATGGATCTTTTTTCCTTCCTTAATGAGAGAGGGCGTGTCAGTGAAGGGTCCATCTCCCTGATGCACTGGGGTTGCCCTGAGCGCCAGCACGAACAGCATTTTCGTCAGGGAGGGATGCGGCGGCGGCCCAGAGCACAAACAGGCACCTGTGAACTCGCATCCCCGCTCTCCCCCCTGCGCTCGGAACTCACCAGCGGCAGAGAACAAAGTTGAAGGCCGGGCCAGGTCATGGGGGTGGTGGATGGCTCCAAAGAGGCTGGGGCCCGGGGGGCGGCTCAGGAACTCGGGTTTCAATCCGAAGTCCAGCTTATGCGGGTCTGACTGCATCTGTTTCTGAAGCAGCAAGAGGAAGAGGAAAACATGAGACCCAGGAGGAGCGGCGGGCAAGATGGAGGCGGGCGCAGCGGCAGTGGCCGCGAGAGAAGACGGAATAGCGGGCGCGGGGCTCGAGTCGGGCTCAAGCTTACGGGCGCGGTGGGAAGAGTGACCCACACACCGTCTCACCCGCTCGCGCCCAGGATAGCAGGTCAGCCCCTGGGGGCCAGCGGGGCCTGGCACTGGACGGGGCCTGCGAGCGGTCTTCGAGGTCGTGCGGCTTGAGGAATGAAACCGTATCCTACTTACTCCAGACGAGTTCATTATCTGCTGTCAAGGCCCCACTTTGGCAAGTTTTTAAATGACAGTGTTTTAAAGCTCATTTCGTTAGGAATTCTGCGTGAATAATCTGTGTAAATTAACTGTTAATGGCTCTTTGCGGTCCTCGAACAGATCGCAGTGCGTGAGTAACTGGAAGTGGTGAGGAAACATCTGCACGCCCACGCGCTCGTTTCCAGATGACCGCTGCGGTTTCTTAAGGACAGAACACCCCAAACCAGCAGAAACAAAGGGGGGGTGTTCACTGATCGCAGGGGCTGGGGCTTCGCCTGCCGCTGCCCGATGACGACCCGAGGAAGAGGTCATGGCCCAGCCCAGCGAGCCGTCGAGAACTCCTCTTGCTCTGAACGGCCGGCGGCAGCGGCCCTGGCTCTGCTCGCTCATCTCTCCCTCATCAAGCTCCTCCCGGTCCCTCCCTCGAAGGCCGAGGAGACGAGCTCATCATTTCCTCCCTCCTCTACCCTGTGTCATTCTTGAACACGGACGCCCCAGGTGAACGCTCAGCCAGCTGCTCCCGGCTCTCAGCCTCCGCGCACCAGCCGCCCGCCGGCCCGTCCCTCGCGGCCCTGCGCCTGCTTCCGACTCTCTCCTCCAGTCTCTCCGCCTGGATTGATGCTCGCCGGCCGCCGGGGCCCGCGCGCCCTCAGACTCCCTCACGTCCGCCCTAAACGCGTCCCTCTCCCACGCTGTGTACCAGGGAGTGAGCAGCGCGGCAGCCGAGCGAGCCTGTGTGAGCATCAGAGACAAGAGAAGGCCGCCATCGTGCTGAGCCGCCAGCCCCGCTCAAAACCTAACCGTGGCCTGGGCGCTCGGGGCTGGAAGTGACACCCTGCGGAAGCACGCGGCACGCTCCTGCCCGCACGTGGATATGCCCCCCCCCCCCCGCCCCGGCCACCGCAGAGGGGTGTCCTCGACCCTGGTACAGCGCGTCTGCAGGAGGTCGGCTCTTTCCGGACACGCTTGGGGGAGGGGCACTAAAAGGGGGAGGAAAGGAACAGTCCCGAGAAAGGGGACCGTGGTGCAACCTCTGCTCAAATCCCCAGGGAGCTCGTCCCAGCTCTGCTGGAAAGCAACGGCCCACGCCCAGGCCGGAGCTTCTGATGCACTGTGAATCTGTAAACGTCTTTCACGGGCCTCCTTTAACTCGGTCGCCCCATTATTCAGTGCTAATAGTGCACGGCACACAGCTCGGTTCCATTAACCACAAGTCGGGCCCACGAAGCCAAGTGGGGCTTGGGGGTCCCGGGGAGTTTGCTGGGAAAGCGGGAGGAGCAGCCTCCCCGCGGGCATGAGGTCTTCCTAACGGAAGTGACAGAAGGAAACTCAGCCACCGCAGTCGCCTTCCCCGAGAAGCTGCTGCGGAAGTGGCAGCGACAACATCCTTCACCGCTTGTAAGCCGCGGAGCTACAGGGAGGACGTGTCTTACTACCCCTCGGCCAGCCACAGTGTCCAGAACAAACAGCGAGTTGAAGTGAGCTCCGACGCCTCGTCGCCCTCCGAGCGCACCGTCTGCCCGCGAAGCCGGGCCAGCGTCTCTGGCTAAACCTCGCCCAACAGTGGCGCGCGAGTGAGCAAAACGCACTGACGGGAGCTTAGGGGAGGGGCCACCCGTCACCTTGGCACCAAACGCAAGTATCTTAGGGACCTCGTTTACTGGCTTTTTAACTTTTCACTAGGTTGGTTTTAATTTTTTTTTTTACAAGAGACAGAGGGTAAGAGAGAGCACGAGTGGGGGGAGGGACAGAGGGAGAAGCAGGCTCCCCGCTGAGCAGGAAGCCCGCCGGGCGGCTGGAGCCCAGGACCCCGCGATCATGACCTGAGCCGAAGGCAGACACTTGACTGACTTGAGCCCCCCAGGCACCCCTAACTAGGTTGGCTTTTTTTTTTTTAAATCATTAAAAAACCAAACATTCTGCGATGACCGGCTCTCCTTTACCTAGCGGTCTCTTTTCTTAAGCTCATGGGGGCTCCCCCAAATGCTGTTAGCACTGAATGCTTGGAATTACTCGATTGGTTGTTTTCTCCCATTCTTCTTGGCGCAGTTACCCAGACGCTAAGCGCCCACACAGTAAAATCTGGACTCGTCCGTTACTTTGGTCCCCAAGTCAGCCGGTGAGGCCTAGTCTGGTTACCTGCAGGAGGCTCTTGACCTAGTCCCTGTTATGTCACAAATGCCTGGAAAACACAACTGTATTCATCTGTGCGATGAAAATACCGAAGTTTAGGCAAAATATTCTGCAGACAGGGTAATGGGTCAGAGTGGTACTGAGCCAACGCTAACCTCTGTCCCTGGTCACGGAGATGACTACCGGGCGTGCTGGATGGCAGTGTGGACTACGACGCTGCTTCTAGAAGAGACTTCTCTGTGCTACGCATTGCTGATGGAAGTTCAGCAGCGTCACGGGGGGAGGGGGGTCCGCTTTTCAAAGTCACACGGAGCAAAGAATGCACTGAATCTTACCGAAATCACCACTTTGCATGTGTAGTTCCTCCCAGATACTACGCATTTTCTACATAAACACACACGTGGTTGTTATAATTAGATTATCAAAACCTTTTCTTTCCCTGCCCCAGGATTTAATCTATGTTTAAGCTCTTTGGATGGATACAATGACAAAATCACCTAAAAGATAAAACACCAGGGAGTTACCAGCTTTTTTTGTCATTTTTGTCATTAGGTTTCCCTAAGTCATAGTAAGGTTTCCCAACGCTGTTTCCATGGGACTTGATCCTTCCTGGCCGCAATCAGTAGAGGCTGTGGGAAGGCCTCCTCTGTCAGGGGGTCGCACACCCACAGGGCCCCCTCGCCCCTGCCCCGTGCCCCGCCCGACGAGGCCCACGAGACTGACCTTGACCTTCTGCTGGTGGTGGTAGATCTGCCAGGCGATGTGAACGTGCATAGCACACCACTTCCCTGGTTTCTGGAATAAGAACGAGCAAGGTGGTCAGCAGGAGACCCCGCAGAGAGAACCGTCTCCAGCTTCGCCAAGCTTTCCCACGGCTCTGGGCTGCAGAGGCTCCTCCTCAGGGAACAAGAGGGCGCAGTGCCCCCAAGCCTCTCTCAGCCCTGGGGTGTGCGGAGCCCGGCCGCAGCCACTGCTCCCCAAACCCTACTCGACGGGGCCCTCCCCGGTTACCAGGGACAAGGTGGCAAAAGCCCGAGCCCCACTTTGTGTCTCTTCTTTCTTTTCCGCTGCCAGCTGGCAGACCTGCGAGAGTGGGAAGCCTCAACCACTTGCTGCGATGCAAATCGGCTGCGCAGAGGAGCTAATTAGCGAGTAGCCGTGACTCGCTCCCAACAAGGAGGCGACAGCAGACCCTGGGTAACCTCCCCCGGCGCGGCTGCGTCCCCACGGGGGGCGGAACAAAGAAATGCACGTTTGTTCTGGAGCCCAGTTCCCACCGGTTCTCCGCTAGGAGTCCTCAGCCCGGTCGAGTTGGCGGCGCTGTTCGTCCCCAAGCGAGGACAGAACAAAGGAGAGCGCTCGTTCCTGCCTGTGCCCTGGGCCTCCGCAGTTGTCCCGCCTGCCAGAGGGTCGCCCCGTGTCTCTCGTGATCTGCTCACGGCTTGGTGTCCAGCAGAGCAGTGACCGAGCGCGCGGTCATACCACCCGGACTGGGGGGACCGCCTCTTGCCCGTCCGTTGGATTCTTGCTGTAACCTACTCGTCCGCTCCCAAACGGGCTCGGGGACTCTAAGGGGCGCGGGAAGAAACTGCCCAGCCCTACATCGGCCAGGGGCGGACGCTTCTGGTGGCTGCGTTAGGAGCTGTTTGTGAAGCGCAGACTCAAGTCCACGTCTGGGTCGGCTCTCCCGCAGTGAAGGGACGGATCACCCGAAATCAGCTGCGTGATGACAGTCATCAGAGAACCGGAAGGATCTGGTTACGTGCACCAGAAACGGCTTGAGGACAGCAGGAAATCTCTCCATCCATCTTCCAACCGACCATCCACCCTTCACCCCGCCCCACCCCCACCCAAGTCAGTCCCGTCTAGTCGAGGTCATCCCTCGGCCTCCCTCCAGGCCACGCAGGGCGCAAACGGGCGAACGCCTGCGGTAGCCCCCTTCTGCGCCAGGGGAGCGGGTCGGGTGGCTGTGAAGGTCGACGCTACCTCCTGCAGAATGAGGCAGCCGCCGGCCGAGGTGGAGGGACCCACGTTAAGTACAGGGTGCGGACGCCGAAGAGACAGGAGGACGTGCTGGAACCCTAACTTCTGCCCTGAGCTTCAGTCCTCCTCCCCGTGCCCCTCCTCGTCCCAGCCAACAAGACTCCCAGCAGCAACGCCAACCCCGGCCCCCGCCCGGGGGAGCGCTTCCTCCGTCCGCCCTCCCTCAGTGGCCTGGCTCCCTGCAGCGCTCCAGGCCGCGCAGTTTTGGCCGTTCTCAGTCACGCGACCTGAAGGACCCGGCCACTGCCAACCCAACGTTTGATGCCAGGGTTTCTGGGGCTTGTTTCCTGGGAATGGATTTGTATTTTTAACCCGCAGGGAGTCAAACAGAGGTTGCAAAACAGTTCTAGAAGAAGCTTTCTTACCCTTAACATAGGTCTGAAAGGATCTGTCAACTGTGAAGAGAAAATGACAACTTGGTTACATGCCTGTCACTCAAACAATTGCTCTAATTAACAAATTTGTAGTGCTTCATTAGGAGGGGAAATTAAAATGTTAGAATTTTACTTTTAAATGAAGCCCTTTTAGAGAATAATTAACCCATTTTCACACTATCAAAAGTGCCAAGTGTCCCCTCCCCCACTTCACAAGCCTGGGTACATCCACACTGACGAGCCCCCGACCAAGTTTAATCAATAGCAATCTGCCCTCTGGCAACACGATAGGCTCCCAGTTACACATCCGAGGAGCATCGTGGTCTCCAGCAGCCCTGCCCACCCCCGCCGCACGGGTTCCAGGGGAGAAGGGCCTCCAGACCGTGGGCCTGTAAGGCCGGGCACGCACAGGGACCCGGGAGCCAACACGCTTCATGTGATGACGGCCCATTACGGAGAGGTCAGGAGATACTTTTTGGAAGTTCACGCGGACTGTCAGATAGATGCTTACATCGTTGAGTCGTTTTAAACTTTAACTCTGGTCCTGACTGCCCTTACCCAGGGAAAACGACAATACTGCCCCACGTAATCATCCGCCCGTATTTACTACAAAGGGTAACGTAAAGATCATTCCACCGGACAGGACTGTCTGTTATTGTAGAACTTCCAGTCCCTCCCCAAAGCCGTGGGCCTGTGCACTACGAACGGACGGAAGGAAGCAAAGCGTAAGGGGTGTTTTGCTTGGACCCGCATTAAAGGTGGAGGGCCAGGAGCGCTGGTGGGGCAGTGACCTCCTGACCGCAGGACAGCAGCCAGAGGGTCCTGGGACTTCCAGGGAGAAAATCGCTTACAGCTTCTTCTGTGTGACAGAAATTTAAGGAGACAAGGACAGACCAGATGGGTGGAACGAGTTACACAAGCTAAGAGTGTCCGCCTCCTGGCCTTGGACCACAGGACATCGGTCTTCTGTGCCACTGGTGTTATCTGCCACTGAGCCGGACTTTCTACGTACCCTCGGGTCCTTCTGGAGCAGAGTATGTGGGACTGTCCCGGGTCGAGCAGCAACATCGATAGGGTTGGATGTCTGCAAAGTAATCAGACCTCAGCTTAGGAGGCGCGTCACACGTTTAACGAGAAAGCAAGATCTTGCTGGCGTTCTAGATTACCGAAGTCAAACATGGACATTGTTTCATTCTGGAAATACAAGGGTTGACAGGGGTATTTTCCCCAGTGACCACACGTGCTCCTCAGGAGGCCCTGCTCCCCAGGCTCTCAGGGGACGTGGACCAGGGTTTGGCCTGTCTAGGAAGGGCGTCAGAAAGCAGGGAGGGGGACCGTGCCACGTGTCACTGCGGTCAAAAGCGAAGGATGGAAAAAGGAAGGGGAAGAACACGCGGGAGCAGGCCCCCGGGGGCCCCATCTCCTTCCGAGTCACGGACGGCCCTGGCACAGCACTTGTGCCCCGTCCCCGAGCATTCGGAGAGACGCCCAGGGGCCCTCGCGGCACTGTGCTGCGTCAGGTGCTGCTCATCAGAACAACCGGGCGTGCTGCGCGACATGAAGCGAACTCAGAATTTTAACCCGCAGACAATGACAGGGAATGACGCTCCGTACTCACTCATTAGCGGTGGTGGAAATGGGACAAGAGGACCTAATTTAGGGACCGCACAGACCTACTATTAAATGATTTCTACAGCGATGCGGCCTCATCCTTCCTAGGCCGCCACCATTCTTACATGTCACTCATAGCAATAACCTTATCTACGGGCTTTTGTCCTTCGAATTGGCATCAACAACAGGAGGCCTACTTCCCCCACCAGCAGCCCTCGCTCTCCAGGGGGTGAAAGGGTTCAGAACGTTTTTCACCGGGTATTTTATTGAGGAGATCCCAACTTCTGTTGACTCCCGAACCCCGGGAAGTTAACGCGTGTGGGAAAAGAGCTCAAGTTTAGGCACGAGGCTAGCCTAGAAGGAGAAGGATTGGGGAAGGGGGGAGAATGGAAGAAAGAAAAGCAATCAGCTGCTGTACAACTAACAATTAAGCTGGAGTTGTTAACAGCCTGATTTGCATACTTATGAAGAACTCGGCTAATGAACCGCAATCTACATATTCAATCAGGAAGATGGCCTGGAAAGGCCCATTTCAACACCGAGAGAGACTTTCCTGCCCAGATGTAGATTTCTGTGTGATTGGATAATAGTGAGTGAGGGAAATAGTCTAATTTATTAAATGACCTGGCAGTCTGGGGAGGCGCTGGAGACTGGGTGAAACCCAGAGGGGACAGACTGGGCTGGGAGGGAGTAGTAAGCAGCAGCATCACACCAAAGGAAAGGGGTTGAAAAATCACCAGGGTTCATCCCCTTGGTAGGGGGGGGTTGCCCGTGGCCATCATTAAAGCCGCAGGTAGAGGTAACCTGGCCTGTAAGCAGGGAAATGCCATTTCTAAGGTGCGGCTGGTCCCACCCCCAAGGCTTTCAAATCTCTTTTCCTACTTCCAGCTTTGAGGCAAGATGCCTTTGGAAATGCAAAACACGCTTAGGCTGGGTGCCTCTGGCCCCAAACTGGTGTTTTCTCTTAGAAATGAGATTGGGTGGTGGGGGTGGACAAAAAAGCAAAGAAAACCCAAATCCCACAGAGCAAAATTTCCTTCTTTAAAAATCTGAGAACAGATACTGTTAACCCACATTTTGCTTCTGTATAAAAATACAGTAAGGGCCATAACCAAGTCACGTAAAGGGAAGGGGTTTCGAGAATCACTCCTCGGTACTGACCTTTGGAGACCACTCTAGCCCAAGCCGGGTAGAAGAACCCGACTAGGTAGAAAGGATTCGGTTACTGTGAAGGGCAAAAGGTTAACTCCACGTTAGGCTGTAAGTCTTGACCTTGGCAGGTGTGACCATGGCTGATGGAGGACTGAGGCAGGGCCAAGGGGGAACAGGGGTGCATGAGAGGGTGGGCGGCAGCCCTCCACCTGCGGGCAGACCCCCATCTGCAGACACACGGGGCTACGGAGCGGAATGGGGGAGATGAGCAGGACCACTTCCCTCCCACAACCGGAAGGATGAAATTCTAGCTCTCAATGGTTCTAGTCTAGTCCGTGCTGTTCACACCAATAAAGGCTCAGCTACGTGTCTTTGCTGATAACATATACCTTAAGGACAAGCTGGTGTGCACGAACCCAACGTTTCGTGCATCTCCTAGTCAGAAGCTTATGTCCACAATACTGGTGGGAAAAAATACGGACATGTCTTCTGTATATCTTAAAGATTACAGGAGATCCGAGCTCAACGGAGATGACATGGGTAGTACCGACTGAAAATTAAATTCTGGCTGAGGTTTACAACTCCAGGGGATATAAAAATAAATAAATAAATAAAATAAAATAAAATTCTCCCTCTAACCCTGGTGGTCACTTCAGACTGGAAAAATGAGTCACTGGCCAGTGGCTGTGGAACGCCACCCACCTCGCCCGAGCCTCTGCTTATAAAGTGCTGGCGTGTGTTCACGGTCCGGTTGCTTACCTTGGGCTGAAATGCTCCTTGTAGTGAACCGAACGGGCCGGTGGGTGGAATCATAGGGGGGATGCCCGACACCGCAGGAGGGTAGGAATGGAAGAGCTGCGGCCAGACACGGAGAGGGGAGACAAAGGTGTTAGTGGGAGGCAAACGCCATGTTCCAGTTCCCTTCCCATCGAGCGACATCCACATTAGCAAGCCAGGTAATGCCCGCCGGACGCTATTAGTGAAGGAGCCATGATGAAATGATCACACAGATGCGCCATGAATGCTTAACTTAAAAAGTTAGAAGTAGTTCAGAATCAATCAGCCAACAGATGATGTCCCAGATGAGGACATCATTAGAAAGGGAGCTTTTCTAATTATTAATTGTTAAATCAGATAAAAGACCTAAATGGCTTGAGATTTTAATGCGCGTCAATAACAGGAGGGGTTGCTGAGCCAAATAAAGATGCCCGGGACATTACAAGTTAATTAGAAAAAGGGGGAAAAAAAAAAAAGAAAAATTAAGAAAAAAGGAAGAAAAAGAAGCAAGTCTTTATGAGTTCCAGGATTTTATACCATTAAAACTCAATTAGTACTTTTAGATTTTTAATAGTTTGAGGAAATGAGAAAATATTCACAATCCTTGCTTCATTAGGTTGTTCCAGGAATGGTGGTTTCCGAGGACAATGTAATTGTCTTGTCTCAAATGATGACAAATGTTTGTGGGAGGGCAAGATAAAAGGACCCCATCTACACTCACAGTGAAACTGTTTTTTCTGCAAGATGGACAAGCTCACTGGGGGCTGTCCAAGCCAAGTCCTTGACGGGTCTGACCACTCCGCGAAGGGAGGAGAATGATTCTGAATTAAGAATATGAACTTTCTGGAATTAACTAGTTTACAGAGGACACGATGGAGGGAAGAAATCCACGGCCATCCTGAGGACAGGGCAAACACCGCTCTTCCTTCCCCCAACGCTGGGATAGCTCTGAGATCCCACTGCTCTGGTTTCATTCACTCTGATCCAACCTCCGATCGGACACGAGGTCACGTCCTGCCTTTACGGTTCCGTAGCGCCTCACACACACGGTAATAACTCGAGCTTCTCTGCATAACGACGCTACGTTAGCTGTTTTCTAGGTAAGGACTAAAATGCCCATTTCATAGTCTGGTTTCCAGGGCACGTCCTTTCCCACTGGTCTGTATTTCATTCTGCTCCCTTCAATGATGCAGCAAAGTTTTTCAGACTAATTGATATTGAACTAAATCCACTTAAACAGTGATTGCAAGCCAAGAGCCCTCATTTAAAACTACTTTTAAGTCTAAAATTGTGTTTTGGATACTTGAGTGCACTGCATCTTAATTCCCCTTATAACGTCCTAATCCCCAAAGAGGAGAGCCTAAGTACTTCATATATTATCCACCATAACTAATAAAACGAGGTAACTCTCCCGCAGCACACTATACGAGGCAGAGTAATTAAAGACAGGCTGCGCTAGGACGCGCTCGGGCTTCTAGTACTCTGCCTCCAGGTGGGTAATACTTCCTTTAAGTTTTCAGCAAAAAATTAGGTATTTTCACCATCTTCCTTTTGCTAGAGTCCATTACTGACCCTCTCGGAATGCAGCTGACTAGCCCTCCCCACCCACGTGATGAAAAATGATCAGTATCTAAGGAATAAAACGTGAATGTGGCAAAAATTCAGGCCCCGTGGCTCATTCTCCATCTTACATCCAGGACCCTCTGGGGGCCGCAGATTGTGTCTGAAGGAGTTCGTCTGAGGCACCTGCGGAGCACGCTGGGCTTTCTCTCAGAGTGACTTTGGTAGATGGTCCTGATTTAAATCAGCGAGTGCCGCCGACAAGGGGCAGGAATCGGATAATCGTCACGGATGGCACCCTTCCCGGGACAGCCCTAAAGAGGAGACCCATGGGGTCCTCTTGGATTCGGCAGTCCATTAAAAAATGCTTTTGGGGGGGGGCCTGGGTGGCTCTGTCATTTAAATGTCCGACTCTTGGTTTCAGCTCAGGTCACGATCTCGGGGTCCCAGGATCCAGCCCCGCGTCGGGCTCCAAAGCTGTGATCAAAGCTCAGCAGGGAGTCTGCCTATCTCCCTCTCCCTCTGCTCCTCCCCCTGCTCTCTCTCTCTCTCTCTCTCTCTCAAAATATTTAAAAAACAAATGAATAAAATAAACAAAAAATGCTTTTGTGTCACAGTGCTGAGCAGTGTCAGAATACGTGGGGCCCAGCGCCAGGACAGACTGCCCTCTTCGTGAGGAAGATTCCTCACGGTACGTCTGCGTGTCTCCGGGGGAGCTCACGCTTCGGTGATCTCTAGAATTTTGTGGTCCTGACTTCTCAGCTACCCCCTGGACTAGGACAGTGTCTTACGGTCTGGTTCAGAGCACGAATGAATTCACAGGCTCTGCTGACCTGAGGAGCCCTTCTTTTGAGTTGAGTACGGTGGGCCGACATGGCTACAGGCAATGACTCATCGTTCTTTCTTTCTGGTGTCATTTAAAGAAATAAAAATAACCACTGAGCGGAGAGACTTGCAAAGGTTCAGGTAAACATGATGCAGTATCGCTCCGTAACCAAAATATCATGGTAAGATGCTAAAGGTGTCTGTATTTTAACAAAAGTCCTCTGTTGTCCCTATTGAATATAGGACATAGGCTGGTTCCAATTTAAATTTGAGAACTGAACTCTTTAGGATGGGACAAGATGAGTACTTTTTTACATAAAGAATGAGTTTAAAGTGGGGAGAAATCACAGATTTCCACTATAAGCCCTTTTACTTAAATGACATCTTTGTTTTTATTTTTAACAAGCTCAGGAGGACAAGACCAGCCACGTGGGAGGACATGAGAACCAGCTTTGTTAAGCCTCGGAGGAGTCAGAAAGATGAGTGACATTGTATTTGGAAGAAATCATTCAAGTCCAATTCTGGGAATATGGCATTAATGACACCGGGGTTGATGACCGCACAACTGGATCTCAGAGTCTCCCGCAGCCAGGGTGACTGTGCTGCAGACCCCCGCTCTGAGGCCGGACGCCGGCGCCCAGGGACATCCCCCCCGGGCCTCTCGGGGCTGGGCATGCTAATGATCTTTTGATTCGGAAGACGATACTGCATCGTGACCAGAAGCGAACGCCACAGAAGCAAGCATCTGAGGTGACGGGGAGCAATGGGAACTCTGGGAAGACGATTAAAGACTGGTCTGCGGCAAGAGCACAGAGATGGAAACGCGGTCACGTCGGATGGTAGCATGGTAGCGAGACTCACACTGTGCCGGTAGAATGGGTCAACTTTTGTAGGGTATTTGTCAAACTGTAAAGGGATCAAAGCAGAAGCCAGTTACTCAGAGCGTCTACATTTCTGTCCAGTGCTTCGGCAGAGGCAGCCCTGGGCCAGCTGCTCTGTCACTGGGCTGTCACCCGACTCCACAACCTCGCTGTACTAGCACGGGACCCTTCTCGACTCTGAGCTGCTCCGACGAGAAATGGAAAAGCAGAGTGAGAACCCACACGGTGCATTTAGGCCCTGGTCACGCGCGAGTGTCTTTCCCTCTAGTCTGTAAATTTAGAGACTGGCACAAACCAGACATCTGCACTGGAGAGAAGAGGGATTATTCAGGTCAATCAGAGGAGCGAGCGTTTGGTGTCATTCATGGAGATTCCCTGTTCTCCTCTTCTTGGGCAGAAGGACCGGACCTCGGGCCGTGTGCCAAGATGCACCACACCCAAATGGAAAGGCGTCTGGGCGAGGTCTTAAAACTTCTTTTTTTTTTTACAACTTCTCTTTTGAGCAGAAAAGACTATATGCCTGTGTTTCCTCTAAGTAACATCAGGTCCTGGTGCTGTCAGCAACCCCGTCTCGTATTTACTTGTGCTGTTGCTCACACCTGCTGTCAGAAACGCTTTTCCAAAATAATAGGCCCTTAAAAACATTGATCGTTGAGACGTCTAACTCTTCCAGAAAAAGCACGCAGGATTTGTTACAGGAAAAAAATTTTGGTTCCAAGGTCTCATTTCTAATATTCTCCTCTGGAAATTCAGAAAGTAAACTTTAAAATCTAGATTTATTTTAAAAACTTAAGTTGAACAAAATAGGGAGGGAGGAGAGGATGCAAAGTTTGGTGCAGGGCGCACCTCCTGAAATGACAGAATTCAAGTCTGCTCTCCCCAGGCCCACACTACATCAAGTATGTCCTTAAATGCTTAAAAGGAAGTAAAACACCCTAACACTCACGGTGGCAGACAGGGCTCTATCTCAGGATACTTAGCACCCTAATATGGCACGATTCAGTATCGTTCATCAGTTTAAAAAAAAGTCCTAACTGGCTCCCCTGGCACGTGCCGGACCCAGTCAAGACGTCGACCGTGTCCTTATCAGCAGCGCCTTCCACCACAAGGCCGAGTTCTGCCCCTGGGGGCGCGTGGCTCCCTGAACGCTTGCTGACAGGGCAGGACACCAGCCCGGGGCACTGTCCTACGAAACACAAGAAACGGCACCTCCCCTCAACCAAACGGGCTTCGGGGAGCCACCAGAAAGCGCAGGGGATCACGGACACGGCCCAGGGCTTTGGACGGCCCGCCTGACTCCCAAGATCCTGCGAGCATTTATCTGCTACGACGGGCGTGGAGCGAGGACAGGTGCCTTTCTGTACGTGGTGGCGATCTCCCAGGACGCTCGAGACAGAATTGCCCTTTGGGAAGTTAACTTCCAACACTGCTGGGACAAAGCATCGAGAACACGCCCGCCCCTCACCCCCCACCCCAAGAGCCACCCGTGCGCACGCCTAGCGCTAGACAGAACCGTCTAGAAAGAAGCGCCTACCTGAGGCCCCGGGTTGGCGCTGCCCGGAGCAGGGCACGTCCCCTTCTCCCCAGCACAGACCGACCAGGCCGGGGGAGCCCCGAGTGGCTACCGCCCCCCATCCAGCTCCTGCGCCCCGACAGCCCCATCCGCCCAGCGTGCTGCGCCAGAAAAGACCGCGCTCTACTTATCCTCACATTTCTGCCTGGGGTACGCACCATGGGAGGTGCTGGCGTCGGCATGATGGCGGTGGGCGGGATGGCGTGGGGAAACGGCGTGAAGGTGTGCTGGTGCGTGTGCTGGTGCGTGTGCTGGTGCTGGTGCTGGTGCTGGTGGAACTCGGTCCGCAGGTAGGGCGGAGGGCCCAGGGAAGCCCCGCGGTCAGCACTCTGAGACGCCAGAAAACGCGTGTTCAGTTCCTGCCGCAAGATGTCTTGCTCTGCAAGGGAAGGGCAGGGAGAGGATGACGCTTTCCGCCGCACCTGTCGTATCCTTCAGATCGGGACGTCCGAGGCCCTGACCAGCGTGGGGACCGGGCCAAGGGCACCCCCGAAGGCCCCTGTGCCCCCAGACGGAAGGAGAGCCGCGGCCGGAGGACCCTGACACCAGCCACGACCGGACTGTATTCTTGGAGGCTCACAGCTTCGGGCACAGCCCCCAGGCTGAGGCGCCAGAGGTCAGTTTTCGGCTCTGGTGGTGGCAGCTCGGGGAGCCGGGGCATGGTCAGTCACCCATCGGGGGCTTGGTTCCCTCCTCCACCACAGGGGGACAGTAATATCGTCCACGCTGTGGGCTGTTTGGGGGGTTCAGGAACTCATATATTTAAGTGCTTAAGAACAGGGACTGCACCCCGATCTCTGGTTCCAGGGCCACGTGCTCGTGCCTCCTTCTTCAAGGGGAAATCCTGCAGCAGGGGTGACCACGGCTACGATGGACCCAGACTCGGGACCCTGGCCTGACCAATACCGGGGAGGAGAAGGGGAGTCCACAGCCGAAGCCCGATTTCGGGACCACTTAACGGAAAGTACCACCTTCCCCTCGGAAGAAGGGAGAAGGCCTTCCTCGTTGACAACCAGCCCCTTACACCAGGACGGAATTCTCAAGAGCCTGGCAAGGAGCAGTCTCGGCCTGGCAACGTGTCTGTCCCTCTCATGGGAGCCAGGTGACCGGGCACTGCAACCTGTGCTTTCCCAGAGCGGGCAAACCCATCTGGAAGATTTCCAACAACTGCCCCCCATCCTCCCCCGCAGGGTCTGGGGTGCCGCGGTGCAGGTACATGTTTCGGCCAAACCTCAGCCCACGAGGAAGCTCGACCCTCCTACCTGAGTAAGTGCTTCCGGCCGGGTGTCCGGGGACCTGCAGACTCCCTGAAGTCAGCGGCGGTGGGGGAGGCAAAGCCGTGGGAGGGGCAAACATATTGGGGTGATGTGAGTGTGCGGGGGGCTGGAGGGTGGGCGTGAAGCTGTGCAGGGGGCTGTGGTTGGGCAGGGAGAGGGGGAACGGGGAGGCCGAGGGGTGGTGAGAGATGTGAGGAGGGGCGGGCTGAGTCTTCGCCGGGGTGCTGCTTCTGCTACTGCTGTGGGAGCCACCACCGGAAGAAAAGAGAAAAGGAAAAGAAAGGTAAGCAATTTATTTTCTTAAAAAGTCCTATCTCTCTGCCCAAAGCCCCTCAACACTTTCTCCTGCTCCTTCCTCTTTAGAGACCCTCCCCTGGGAGGCACAAGAAACTTCTGCCATAGTCGTAACCCCGACTGCAGGACAGGAGCTGAGGCCCCAGAGCTACCAGCACTCGGGGTCCGGGTGGCGGCTTTGGCCCCAAACCCAGGTCCGTTCCCCTCTACAGCCAAGTTCTTGTCTCTGCCCCTAGGAGCCCTGGGCCCTCCCAGCCTCCCCTAGACACACGTCCTACAGTTTCGGGAGAGGAACAAGATCGATGACCTGAGCTCAGCCCGTCTGAGACCCCTTCGATGGAGCAGCACAGGCGGGAGGAGACCTGGGAACCCCGGGCCACTGCTCTGCTCTGGGGGCCACGTGCATGATCCCGGGGCAGAACCCTGGCTAAGGCAGTTAGCCTGCCCTGGACAGGAAGATCCCCCCAGTCACCAGGCTGTCACAAGGCAAACAAAGGCACAAGAGTCCCAGGAGGTCAGAATTACAACCTCCGGGGGCAGGCAAGGATGGGGCACGCTTGGCGCCACACCCTGGGGTTTGTCTCCCTTGCCCGGGCGGTCCTGCTCTGTGCCACTCCGCAGACGTCCCGTGCGGTTCCACAGAGCTGAGGCGGGAGACAGCCTCTTCCTGCCGACACAGCTTGCTCCTCCGCCTCTCTGAAGGCCCAGGCGGGAAGTCCGCGGTGACGCAAACCCTCACCGAGAGCCCTCCCCGGTCCCCATCTTCTGACTCGAGTCGCAGGGAGATGGAGCATCTTTGTGCCGTCCTCCCTCGGAGGCACATGGCCTCCCTTCTAAGAACCCCCAACCCTGGTGCCCCCCAGGTTTCCACGCTGGTTCTCCCGCGGCGCCTCTTCCCTGGGCCTCCCCTCTCGGCCTCCCTCCGCACAGGGCGACTGTCTGCAACGCTCCCGCAGAAAGAGGATGGCAGAAGCCAGGCCACCGCGAGCGCGGCGAGAACAGACGGGCTCACCTTAGGCTGTTGAGGCTCAAGCTGCTGCTGTTGTAGGCCGACAAGGGCTGGGAGAGGCTCTGGGACGAGGGGTGCGCCTGCACGGCCGGGAGGCTCTGGTGCAGCAGCTGGGCCGGAGACTGCGGCCGCGGCGGCCTCTGCACTGCAGGCTGAGGGGCGGGCTGAGGCTGGGCCTCTGGGGGCGCCTGGGGCGGCTGTGTGCTTGGACGTGGGGGCTGAGGGGGCGCCTCCGTGCGCTGCACCAGGTCGGGGTCTGGAGAAGGAGCTCGGGGCTGGGGCTCCGCCTGGGCCTGGGGCAGTGACTGAGGGACCTGAGGGCAGGGGTCTTTCAGCACCACGGGCTCAAAGATCGGCTCTTTGCAACAGTCCTGGCTCTTCTCCTGGCTTCTCTCTAGACCCGATATCTTGGGGACAATTGGCCCCGCATCCTGGCTGTCATGGTCTGGGAGGGTGCCAACCCCTAAGTCCGGATCTGCATGGGGAAGAGCAAAGACAAAATCACAGGCAATGACACATGAGTGTGAGATAAACACGCAGCAGAAAGCCGAGTCCAAGCCCAGGCCCCACAGTCCCACCAACACGGCACACGGCCTAGTGCCACGTCCCGGCTTCCTGTCCTGACATGTAAACGTACGGGACAGGAGCACACGGCGAGCAGGGCCCATGGGACATGGGCAGAGGTGAGCCGCTGCAGGAGGCTGCATTTCAGAAAGACGTCCCGGGAGTCTCAAAATGCGCATTGACTTTAATCCTGAGAAAGCCTTTTATGCAGCAAAATTAAGAAACAAGAGCCAACGAGTTGATTTTTTTCCCTTTTAAAATGCATACAGCTCTTGAATATACAAAAGAGTGGTGTTTCCAAACAGCCAGCGAAGCCAATGTTACTTAACCACACACAGATGTTTCTTCTTGCCTTGCCTCTTCCCCTTTCCATTCTGACCGATGAGACACACTTGACATTTACAGAAACAATTTTGTGTTTGGCAAGTGCTAAACTCTGGTCAAACGTCGGGCCTCCGCACGCTCACCGATGGACCCCAGCAACGTCGGAGCTCCACGGTGCAAACACGAATTCCGATCAACCTACAGCCACCTACGCATGCCAGGCATTGTAAAGGGCCCCCCACCCCTCTGGACCACTGGGTGCGATGCTGAATGCTGACTAAGCCTGGAGGTGTAATTTAAGTGAAATTCCACAACCAAGGAAGAAATGTGGCAAGTACACACTCCTGTTATGAATTTAAAAGACAGGCTTCTCGGGGCACCTGGGTCGCACTGTCAGTTAAGCTTGGAATTGGCTCATGATTGTGGCATCGAGCCCTGTGTCGGGTTCCGCTCAGCACGGAGTCTCCTTGCAAATCTCTCTCCCTCACCCTCCGTCCCTCCCCATCCCGTGCGTGTGTGTGCGCAGTCTCTAAAATAAAATAACTAATATCTTAAAAAATTGTAAAAAAAGCTATGTAATAGTAAAACATAGTAATAGTTAAATAGTAATAGTAAAAAAGCTATGTAATAGTAAGAAGTACTATACTAATAGTAAGGGCTAACAGTAAGAAAAGCTCCACCTTTCTCCGAAGCTCCTGGCCACATCAGAGCAGTGTCTGATTAGCCACTAAGTGCGAGCCCATCAAGTCGTCTAAGAGAAGAATGAAAGACAGAAATGGCATTAAATAGGAAGAAATCCCCCTGCTGACCCGTCAGTGCTTCTGCATACATCTGCCGGCCGGGGGGATGACCTTTCTCACATCTTGGTGCTACAAGCAGCCATCCTTTTGCCATCACACAGCTCAGAGATAGGAAGAGAACAGATCACAACACTGACAACATTCTCTGACGTGAGGATGGGTCCAGGCATCCCTCAGGAAACTACCTGGGGCACGACCTTTCCCTTCCGGCCTCACTGTCCCGGGTGTGAGAAGCACGCGCCCTTCTCCCCGGGCCCGCCCATTTCTGCTGACACCCTCTTGGGCGCACACGCTTCCCACTTTCCTGCCCTGGAACCTGCATCAGAGCAGCCCATGATTTTCAGTGTTGTTTTGGTAAAGAGATCAGACGCGTGACGTGCCCCAGAGCAGAACGAACGGGTTTACAAACAAAGCACGTTTTCGGCTAAAGTGACCTTGGCTGAGAGCAGCCCGGCACAAATGCACCGACCGCACGCGAAGACAGTCCGCTCTTCGCACGTTTCGGCTCCAAGGAGAAACCGCCCATAAGGCCCTGGTGAAAGTGACGCTAGACTCCCGGCATCCCACTGGCGTGTGTTTCCATCCCGTGCCGTCCGTCAGAGCCTTTCCGGGAAGACTGCTGCTTGTGCTAAGCAGAGACCTCATGGATTCCCAAAACCGTAGTTTCTAACTCGAGGGCTGAGAACAGCAAGGTTCCCGATGTGGACGGACCCCATGCAGCCAAAGTCCTAAGTCACGGAAGACGACCCTGTATCCGCAGGGGGTCTGGCGCGTCCCCCCCCACCCCACCGTTTTTGCCATCACTCCCACCAGGTCACCGTCGCAAGCACGTCCACGAGCTCAGAGACGGGGTTCCCACAACGCGAGAGGGTCAGTTAGGTCTGGGGCAGAAGCGCTAACACCCACACATCCCAGCTGCACAAACTACACGAGATTCTCTGCGTGTGAGCAGGACGCCCCCCGCTCTGACACTCGGACGGCTGAGGATGACTGCGTGTGCTGTAATGGCAGGACCCATCTCTGCCCACCTGCAGCGCTTTGTTCTCTCCAGACTGGAGTAATGAAGAATACATACGTAAATATTTCCCACCTCGCTACTTTCAAATGCATGGTCTCCCTCCAAGAATCAATGTCCAAAGTCTCTCTCGGGCATAAAGAAAGTTTCCTCTGCCAAGGGACACCACCCAGAGGCCATCAACTTAGATTTTCTTATGCCGGGAAGGAAGCACATTAGGCACACACAGGTAAGAGCTTCGCTTATGTAGCTCGACTAAATTTATGTCCTTGTTCTTTGTTTAATGGGCTTCTAGAATGTGGACGAGTCAGCCAGGTGAGTTTGCCGGGGCCATGATGCAGGCTTGGGCTCGCTTCCCGAGGCTCCATAAAGGCAAACAGGGCCGGCTTTCGCGTCTCCTCTGTTGTTCCCGGGTCACCGGGGGTCGGCACCAACCTAGACACAGCCAGGACGAGGGGAGCAGCGCCCGGCCTGGGGATCGCCATCCTGGACAATCTGTGTGCAACCCCTCCAGCGAGCCCTGTCAATTTCTACGGGGTCGTCTGGGATGAATGACTCAGAGGACCCAAAACCAGGATCTTGGCACAAGACCCGAATCTGGGAAACCATCCCGGCACTTCTCACACTTTAAAATGTGGACAAAGGGGCACCTCGGTGGCTCAGATGGTGAAGCCTCTGCTTTTGGCTCAGGTCATGATCCCAGAGTCCTGAGATCGAGTCCCGCATTGGGCTCCCCGCTCAGCGGGGAGCCTGCTTCTTCCTCTCCCTCTGCTGCTCCCCCTGCTTGTGCTCTCTGTCAAATAAGTAAATAAAATCTTTAGAAAATAATAATAAAATGCGTACAAAGGGCCTGGATGGACATCTGATTAAAAAGCCCAGCAGGACTCGGGAATTCCGGGGGGGGGGGGGCTCGAGCCTCCCTTTCTGACTATTTCCCAGGTGATGCTACTGAGGCTTGGACTCTCCAGTGAGGAGCAGGGAACTTCTCCAGTCCGCTCACTGGAGGGGAGGAGCCCAGCGAAGTTAAGCAACCTGCTTGCTGGAGGTTCCCTATGAATCCCATGACTCGCGTTCCCGTTCCCAACTCTTGCCACCAATCGTCGCTTTTTCTCTGATTTACACTTTGCTGCCCCCTCCGACGCAAAAATCCTAAAGCAAAGCAGGAATCATTAAAATTTCCGGCGCCATGAGACAGTGCAGCGGGTCAGTTAGGAGAGCTGGGAAGAGGGTCAGGAGCAGCGCGCCTCAGCCGACCCTGCGAGCTCTCATCGACCCACCGACCCCTCGTTGCTGTGACACCCACGCGTGAGGCCGTGGCAGGCTGAAGCCGGCAGGAACTTCGCGGCCGAGACAGTTTTACGACTCCCCGTTTACACGAGTCTCTCGAGGCACAGCTCAGGCGTCAGGCGTTTTTGTGGCTAATCGGTAATGCATTTCCTCTTCCTTTCAATTATTCAATAAATGTATCTTCCCAGTTAAGCTTTTCCATCTTGACAGTCAATTTGTCTTACTGTGCTTCTCCAAAATTGGCAAGAACACATTTTTTAAAAAAATCATTTTGTATTGCTCTGTGTGCTCCGGGTTTGCCAAAGGATGAAATCTGCTGAGGTTGGAAGAAGTAAGAATGTGCAAACTGACGAGTCTTATTTACAAGTTTTACTCATTACATTTCGGGGTTTTAAAAGCTCTCTTCTGTGATTATAAAAATAACATATCATGCTTCTAATAAAATACATGCAAATTGAAATTACCCTGCGTAGTGCGCGGTAGTGTACGGTATAAGGGGTGAGTTTGCTACATGTAAATTCCATCTCAATAACCTTGACTCAAACACAACATTGTTTAAAAAGATAAGGGCAGATTATGGAAAATCTGTTTACTGTTGATCCAAATGTGATACAAGTTCCCTGGGGGGAATGGGGCTGCTCTACTTTACTAGAAAAACCCAAAGCTTCTGAAGAGGGCAGTTTGGAAACATTCAGCAAGGAAACTGAGGCAGCTCAGGAAGGATTTAGTCTCTAGACACAATAAAACATCGTGCTTTGAACTGCAAGTTGGGAAAGAACTAAAATGTAATCATTTGGGAACTGGTTACATGGAAATCTGATACATGCAGGGGCGCCTGGGTGGCTCAGTCCTTAAGCATCTGCCTTAGGCTCAGGTCATGATCCTGGGGTCCTGGGATCGAGCTCTGCATTGGGTTCCTTGCTCAGCAGGAAGCCTGCTTCTCCCTCTCCCACTCCCCCTGCTTGTGTTGCCTCGCTCGCTCGCTGTCTCTCTCTCTGTCAAACAATAAATAAAATCTAAAAAAAAAAAAAAAGAAAAGAAATCGGATACATGCAGACAATGGAAGATGTTACAGCCTGAAAAGGAATGAGGAACTCTGCATACAAGCTATGGCATTTTGCTAGCTTCTGTGAAAAACGGAAGAGAAGTAATATATATCCGTTTTTACTTTATGCATAAAGAAGCTCTAAAAGAGTGTCTAAGACACCAGTAGCAGTGGTCCTGCTTAGGGGCTCAGGCAGGAGAACCAGACAGACAGGGAGCTGGAGGAGGGGGAGATATCTGACTGTACACATACAGACAGAGTTAAATTTTTCAATTATGCGATCATGTTACCTATTAAAATTCTTAAAAGAAAACTGGACTTACACTTAAGAACAGTTTGAGCAAGAAAAAGAAAAAAGCACAGCAAGCAAAACTGAGAATTTGAATAGTGGTAGTGGCATAGACACGGAGACTGTACCTTATTACCAAGTAAGACATTAG